AAGTCTCCCATGTGGTCTCTCAGCCCCTCGTTGACGTTAGTGGAGAGCAGGGACTTGAATTCAACACAGATCTTCAGAGTTTTCACTCAGCCCTGAATGCTTGTGGGTGCGTGTGTGCGTCTGTGTTTGTTTCTTGTACTCTCATTGCCCAGTTATAGAGACACGATTGGGTTTTTCCCATTACAGAATGGTTAAGAATGTGTGTGTACAATTGAGAAGCATGTGGGTTTGGAAATCAGCCTTTTTTTTTAGTGATTTGGAAGAGTTCCATTGTATGGATTTATTACATTTTATTTGTCTCTATATCAGTTAATGGTCATTTGAATGATTTTTAGTATTTTGCTATTGATGTGGCTCCAAGTATTTGCATGCAAGACTTTTTTTTTTTTTTAAAGATTTTATTTATTAGAGACAGCATGACCAGGGGTGGGCATGGTGGCCAAAGGGAGAAGCAGACTCCCCACTGAACAGGGAGCGATCCCAGGACCCTAAGATCATGACCTGAACCCAAGGCAGAAGCTTAACTCACTGAGCCACGCAGGTGCCCCTGCATGCAAGACTTTTTGAAACAATTCTTTTAAGGCAGTAGATCTCTAGGCGTTGAATTATGGGAACCTATGGTTACGATTGTGTTTAGCTTTTTAAGAAACTGCCAAACTGTTTTCTAAAGCGGGTGTACCATTTTACATCCTCACCAACACTTGGTACAGTCAGTATTTTTTTTTTTTTTATTATATCCAGGAAATCATTTGTTGGTAATGGAAAGTGGAACCCCTGTGAACCTCACTTTTGGAGATAGGGAGGCAAGTAATACCATCCCATCTCACAGGATTGCTCCAGATCAAAGGAGAATGGGAGCTTTTGTGCAAGTGCTTTGTATCGTAAAAATGTTACTGGTGATTATGTGCAGGAAAATTTTTAACTGTTAAATTTCACACATATCCATCTCAGAGATTAGGATGAAAACTTACCCAAGTTTTAACAAAATGTGTTTGTTATGATCAAACTTATAAAGATGTTTTTGAACTCAAATTGTGAGCTTTCTCCATATGCTAGATTGCCTGTATTGTGCATTAAATTATCAGCCTTATTTAACAATGACAGAATATAATGGCTTGCATATGGTGGGCAAATTTTTCTTCCCCATACAAACTTGGATGATCTGGTAAATGTCTGCTTGTGACTTCATTTTCAAATGCCTTGTGGGTGGCCTCTTTCCTGGACCTGGGCATATGTGTTCTATTTAAATAGAAGGGAGGCAGAACATTTGGGGGCTCAGAGAAACTCCAAGAACAATCTATGTAAAAATATCCACTTTAGTTTTACTCTGTAGTTCCGGTTTCATGAAAATTGCCAGTTTAAGCTTTTTCAAGGAACAAAGGGAGTGTTTTGAATGCATTTCCCTTCCTACCTGTGGAAGACAGCTACTGTAGGCCTCATGGAGCTGGCCAATGGGCTTGAGATTTGCAGTCCAGGCGCATTTCCTAGATCTCCCTTATCAGCAGCTCTTCACACCTATTGAAAAAGACCTTTGGACTAAGGAAGTTGAACCGTGTGTTTGATCATGTAGGACTGTGTCAACAAAGGGCTTTATAGTACCTTCACAGAAGGTAAAAATTACCACAACACAACTCAAGTGAAAGAAACTGTGAGCTGTGTAGCTTCTGGAAGTCAGGAGAGATTTATGTTAATCCTCGTGACAATTTGTATTAATTCAGCAATGTTTCATAATAAAATATCTGATTCTTACTAAGACGATTTTAATAAATGGGAAACACATGAAATCCATTTTGATTTAAATGGTACAGGTGATGGTCATAGCAAACAATGCTTTGGATTTAGGATTGAGAGGACAGGAGCACTGTGAATTGTTTCATGATTTTACCTGATGCGTAAAAGTTCTCACCTTATAGAACTTTGAAAGTTTCCATTTGAGAAAGAGAGAGAGAGAGTGTGTGTGTGTGTAGGTGTTTCAGAGCTTTAAAATGTTGTGTCTGACGTGTAAATTAAAGAGGGTAGAAATGGGGCGCCTGGCTGGCTTAGTCAGTAGAGCATGCAACTCTTGATTTCAGGGTCCTCAGTTCAAGCCCCACGTGGGGTGTAGAGATCACTTAAATAAAAACAGTAGTTCAGGCACTTGGAAGTCCTTTTCTGGATCATTACAGATAATGTAGTTTTGGTGTGGAGTGATATGCGAGAGAACGGTCTTAGAGGATGGCGGAAGCGAACGTTGTTTTTGGAAGCAGCTGTTTGCTAAATAAATCAGGACTGACAGGCAAATTCTTGGTGTTACCTGTGTCTCAGCCAGAAGCACCCATCAGAGGGACGGGAGTGACTCCTGCAGAGATGGGAACCCCCCCCCCCGTTGATGTTTTGGGTGTCCTTTAAATAAGGCAGGCTTCTGGATTTATAGAGAAATAGTTCATATTCAGTGTTGTTGCTGTATATGATTGTGGAGGATTTCAACCCCTCTTTGGAGGGAAGGTTGAAGTACGGAGTTAATACCTTAAAAGCTGCGTAAAAAGGAGAAAGGGAATGCCTGTGGGGAGGGCTTCTGTGGGGCTGTAACAAGCGATGCCGGGAGAGCCAGTCACAGGGAACGGGAGAGCTGGCCCCAAATACTTCGACCAGACTCAGGGTTGACTTGGAATCCCGAGTAAGGGTGGTGGCAGCAAAAGTTCTGCTTCCTGGCTGGTGTAAACAAGGTCATCGTTGGCAACAAGGGAGTAATTTTTAAGTCAGACTTTTTTTGAAAGATTTTTTTTTTTTTTTTTGTAATTTTTAAATAATCTCTACACCCTATGTGGGACTCGAACTTACAACCAGACATCAAGTGTCGCCTGCTCTACTGACTGAGCCAGCCAAGGGCCCCAGGTCAGATTTTCGTATCTTCTTAAATTTTCCCTCCTGGCAGGGTAAAAGAGAACAGATGGTTGTGTGTGTGATAACTGGCTACTTAAAGTGACCTCTGTGTTGTTATATATATTTTTAAAGATTTTATTTTTATTTACTTGACAGCGCATGCACAAGCAGGGGGAGTGGCAGGGAGAGGGAGAAGCAGGCTTCCTGCTGAGCAGGGAGCCCGATGCGGGACTCGATCCCAGGACCCTGAGATCATGACCTGAGCCGAAGGCAGTTGCTTAACCAACTGAGCCACCCGGGCACCTCTGTGTTGTTATATTTTGATTGTGCATTGATTCATTCATTTAACTTATGAATTACTTTAAGGAGACAGTATGATGTGTGGAAAGAGCATGGGGTCAGGAATGGGAGGGATCAGCTGTGTGATGGGAAGCCGACTTGGGCTCTGAGCTTCAGTTTCCTCCTGGAGGTGGGATTCCTAGCTTACTGAGGGTTAGTCTTAAATCCAGTGTCCTTGAGGCTCTTAGCACATGACTGTGACTCATCATGGGCACTCCATTACTGGAAGTAAGCTGCTATTTTTGCTACTGATAAACATAATTTAAAGTAGCATTAACGTGCGGGTGGTCAGGTGGCTCAGTCGGTTAAGCGTCCGACTCTTGATTTCAGCTTGGGTCATGATCTCAGGGTTGTGAGATGGAGACCTGCACTGGGCTATGTGCTGGGTGTGGAGCCTGCTTAAGATTCTCTCTCTCCCTCTCCCTTTGCCCCTCTCCGCCCAGTGCTCTCTCTCAAAAAACAAAAAAACAAAAAAAAACACAACTTATAAAAAAATTAGCATAAAGTGATGAGTTTACTTCTGTATTATTTATCCCCTGCCAACTCTGTGTTAAGAGACTGGTAGTAGCCCCTTAAATGGCAAGTTGAATATTCTATAACCAATACATTTTAAATATTTCACTTAACTTTTGAAATCAAAACAAATTAAGTAGACCAATAAAATGAGGTTGAAAGTTCTAGAAAAAGTTGTTCCATGTAAGTGCCATTTCAAGTGATAACTTAGGTATAGTATTTCCACATGAACACACTGTATCGTAAGGATGTGCTTGTTTAGTGTCATTTTTGTTGGGATCGAGGAAATTGAGCAAATTAGTAATAACTTGATGAGAAATTTTAGTGTTATGTTCCGTCATGCGGGCATACATCATACAGATAATTCTTTATAATTTGACCAGTAACACCCAGTGATTTCTTCAAACTTTTATCACTTGGGTCACTGTTTTTCATGTTGTGAAATCAGAGAAAGAGGAAGTTCATCGTTGAAAAGGTAAATACTATGCTTGTTTCGTTTGTCCAGTGGGGACATAAAAAATGGAAATAAAATCAACGCCAAAAAATAGGCCCCAGGTGAAAACAATAGGATCTGGAAGTTTCTGTCTTGGGCTGCAGTTCTGAACACTGGAGTGCGTCGGGTGGTTTGGTGGAATCCTAGCAAACTTCACACTGGTGGATTGGGTTCTGATCTTTCCTAAAACTTGAGTCCCTCTCTTGGAGAGTTGATTTGACACATGGACTTGGTACCGGTAGGAAGTCAGCGGACTGTTCGAATGCTATCCAGGTGGGCAAGTGCTTGGGACTTGGAGCTGGGAAGAGGGGAGCCAGCAGATCCCAAAGAGTTTAAAGTACCATGGGTGGAGCAAGGTAGCGACCTGGTTAAACTTGTTTCTGGAACCCAACTGCCTGGGGTCAGGTTCTTTCTTTCTTGTGATGCTGGGCAAGTTGCTCTGTCTTGAGACCTTCAGGTGTCCATCTGTAGAGTGGTAACAGTGCCTGCCTCAAGGGCCTTTGTGAGTGAAATGAGATCATCCACATAAACCACTTGCATTTCAGCAACACAGGGCCTACTATTTCCTCATCCCCTCTTCTGTGCTCTCTGGTGGGACGCTCAGTCGTGCTTGTCTCTGGTGAAGGCTGTGCCTGATGCTTTCTGCAGAGTCGTTCTTGTCTGAGAAAAACATTGGCTTTTTAAAAAGTTGTTGTTTTTTCTTAAAGGACTGTAGTAGTCAGTGATTTTGAGAGTGGTGATTTGCCACGGAACGCAACCCAAACTCCCTAGTTAAACCCTCTTTGTTTTGTTTACAGGGGACACGGGTCTGGCTGAGAGAAAATGGCCAGCATTTTCCAAGTACTGTCAATTCCCGTGCAGAGGGCGTCGTGGTCTTCCGGACAGACTATGGTCAGGTGAGCACATGTCTGCCGCTTCCCGACATCTGTGTTCTGCTTCTGGAAGTTGTCCTCCAGGAGCACATGTGGGCCTGCCTCCCTCCCAACCGCCCCCCGCCCCCCCCCAACAATACCCAGACTTTTTTTCTAAGTGGGGAAAACCAAATCTCGAAAAGAATGTGGAACATACACCTCAAGTGTGTGAGAGATGCAGTAAAATTCTCCAAATGGAACGTACAAAGTGTTCCAACCAGGACAGGACAGAAGAGCACTCCACTTGGCTGGTTCCTGGGAATCTCGACAAAGAAACAGACGTATAGGGTGCAAGCAATTTGAGAAACACTTCAGAATTATTGATATTTGCATATTGGTTTCCTTACCACTTTCCCTTAAAATTCTTCCATTTCCTAGAGTGTTGGAAAAATGGGTCTGCCGGTGGGAATGTAGGTAGTGGTGGTTCCTTGTAAGAACAAGGTGGGCTACACCACCTCACCTGAGCTTCCTTGTCCACCTTGTTGGTCAAATGAAGAGGTTCCTTCTGTAGGGGGCATCATCTACTGCTTCTGGTTCCCTGTTCTTTAGTGTAACCTAAAAGCTGTATCAGTGAAAACAAATACATGAATCCAGAAACTAGCTCACTGGTTATAATTGGGCGATTGTAAAAGAAGGCTGGTGTCTCCATTTTATTAAGGAAACTAATTTTAATGTCACAAATGGATCCCTTTTTCAGAGGCACTTGGCAAAATTTAAGACCTACAGAGAGAAGCATGTCCTTTGCCAGTATTTAAAACTCACAGTTTCTGAATCTGGTTTGCAAGTTTTGTTGAGAACAAAACCTTCCGGGTCAGTGTCCAGTAGTTTAAGGCAGGTGGGCTAGGTGGTTATCAACCTCTTAGAGTCCACTAGGTGGTACCTTTCTCGTTTCTTGGCTTAATAAACAGTGATGTGACTGGGCTGTCTTGCAATTCCTCGGTTTCTTTGTCATCTGAGAGTCTTGAGCAGTTGATGAGCGTTTGTCTGGTGGTGAAAACCTAGCTGGGTTTGGTCGATGGCGGTTGCGGGGGATGGGGAATGGGGCAGATAGATCACAAGTCTGGTGGTCATTGCCAGTGTGGACGCTGGAACTGCTGCCCAGCCTGGTTTCCTTCTCATCAGATTCTCGGGTTGTGCAGTATGATCTGTAAACTAAGAACAGGCCTAGTGACTTTTGTCAGGCTTAAGTGTGTACATTCCTGTGCAGGGTTCATCAGCATTTGTCTGTCTTGCCATTTTCCTGCCCGTCCTCCTTTCCCACTTGACCCAGATGAGAATTCACTCCCTTTTAGGTTCTGTACATACTTTTCAAGGTGATGTAAAAAAAGTCTATGGTAACTTTTCAAGATATTGGCTACTTTTAACTCCATTTATTAAAGGGTGTGAAGAAATCAGTGTGGGGGGAGGCAGGGGGAGGTAGAATGAAGAGTTACTGTTTAATGGGTACAGAGTTTCAGTTTGGGAACATTTCTGAAGGTGGATGTGGGGATGGTTGTAGGACAATGTCCATGTGCTTTAATGCCCCTGAACTGAACACTTAAATGGTCAAAGTGGTACATTTTTTTGTTCTTTTGTACATCTTACCACATTAAAAAAAAGTTCACTGTTTGAGGTCCAGTGATAACTGGGAAAAGCTGTCCAATGGGTATTTTTCTGCATTTTTAAAAACCATTCTGAGGGCGCCTGGGTGGCTCAGCCGTTAAGCGACTGCCTTCGGCTCAGGTCGTGATCCCAGGGTCCTGGGATCGAGCCCCACGTCGGGCTCCCTGCTCCGCGGAGAGCCTGCTTCTCCCTCTCCCTCTGCCTACTTGTGCTCTCTCTCTGTCAAATAAGTAAATAAAATTAAAAAAAAAAAAACAAAAAACATTCTGGTGACATTTTTGTTGGGAAAAATGTGACCTCAGAGAAACAAAAGCTTACGAAACTATTAGTCTACCCTAACTCTGATGTTATGTGAATCACCGGGGGTCCTGTTCAGCTGCAGATTCTGATTGGCAGGTCTGGGGCGGGGCCTGAGAGTCTGCATTTTTCACAAGCTCCCCTCTGATGTTGATGCTGCTGGTTCATGAACCACGTTTGAGTAGCAAGGGTGTAGAGGGTGTTCCTGAGAACTGCCATGAGGTCGTGGTTGCCTGCGGTGAGAGCTGGAAGAACTCTTAAACCCTCTGTGGACCATCGGTCCCAGGGTTGTAGAGGAAGCAGAGAGAAAAGGAGGAGGGCTTTAGGTGAAGCTAGAACACTTTTCTTTGGCCTTCCAAAGCTCTTCCGTTCTCCTTGCTCTGCCCTTCCTTCCTACAACCATTTCACCCCGAGCGTGGCCGGGGTGGTGCTGACAGCAGCAGAATGATTCTCCAGGGGATCAAAAAACCATTTTGAAGTCCTGTTTAGTGTTGGAAGCCAAGCAGAGCCGTGTGTCACTAAAATCCTAAAGTGGGACCTCAGGGACCCTGGGTAGGTAGGAGATAATAATGTGTTTTTTGTGAGAGCACTGAAGGGTACGTTCACTGATTTCATGTAGTCTCTGATAATTTTGCACATGCACTCAGCTGTTTTTTGATTTGGGGATTTTTTGGGGGGGTTTTTTTGGCCAGGGAGATGGTTTCACTGTTAACTTAAAATTCCATTCCACACTAAAAGTTAAACTACTATAGGTTGGTCCAGGGAATAGAGAGGACCAAAGCATTCCCATTTGATTTATAACGTATGCTCTACTCACCGTGGAGTATTTGCAGATGGAAGAAGAAACGTGCAGGAGACGTCCTAGCACACTTCGTTGAAAACTATGCATGGCTGTGGCCCGTGGAGGACACAGCGCCTGGGCAGGTCAGCACTTGCCCTGAAAGTTCGTCCTAGGCATACGTTGTGTTACTGCGCTTTGCTTTACTGAGCTTTGCAGAGATTGCCTTTTGTTTTTCGCTTTTTTGCAGATTGAAGGTTTGTGACAGCCCTGCTTGAGCAAGACTGTTGGTGACACATTTTCCAACAGCATTTGCTCACTTTGTGTCTCTGTGTCACATTTTGGTAATTCTTGCCACATTTTAGACTTTTTCATTATTGTATTTGTTACGGTGATCTGTTATCAGTGATTATGACTCATTGAAAGCTCAGATGATGGCTAGCATTCTTTTTTAAAGATTTGATTTATTCATTTGAGACAGAGATACAGAGAGAGAGGGAGAAGCAGACTCCCCGCGGAGCAGGGAGCCCGACGTGGGGCTCGATTCCAGGACCCTGAGATCATGACCTGAGCCGAAGGCAGACACTTATGTGTGTTGTTTTTTAGGGATTGTTGCACACCTAGTAGTTGACAGTATAGTGTGAACATAACTTATATGCACTGGGAAACCAAAAGATTCATTTGAATCCCTTGATTGTGCGGTTCTGGAACCGAACCTGCAATTTTTCCCGAGGTATGCCTGTCCGTGTCTTCTTGGGCGTTAAGCTGCGGACAGAGTTTTAGAAGAGCACCACAACTTTGCAGGGTGTAGGTATGGCTAGAAGATCAACTCTTATGGAAGTGTAAGATGGAAGACAGCCTTGAACATTGGTCTTTTCTGGAACACTTGCGGGGTCATGGGCCATCACGATAGCACCCATTAGGAACATTGTAAACTGAGTAATAAGTTCTAAATTAGATTTTTCACTTTGAGAGTGAGCTATTCTCTTTTCTGAGAAGAGCCTCATTTGATTGCTTTGAAACAGCTTACAGTGATATCAATTTACCTAATTGTGTTTTAAGGGGTAGTTATTCAACTTACCCCAGTAAACTTAATCAAGGCAATTACTCTAGGCAGTGATTCTGTGGGATTTTTTGTTTGCCATTGTCTCTCTATGGGGTCTTCAGAAATGTTTTCCTGGCTGGGGATTTAATCACCCCAGTCTACAAGTAAATGCCCTCCCCCTCGCCCTTCTCTCTTTATTGGCTTGCAACGAGTATGATTAGATTTGGGTTTAAAAGTTATTGTTCTCATTTGATTAATTCACGAAAAGGCCATTAGATTGCCTGGCACTCTCAAGTCCGCCCCACCCGGCGGAAAAGTCAGACTTTCTCCGGCTAGGCAGGAGACACAGTACTAGATGCTGACGATCACACCTCCCATTTACAGCCGTCTCTAACCTTTTTGGTTCGACCTTCTAGTGTTGACTTGTTGGAATTAATAGTGTGGGCCCAATTTTGTGAAACTTGATAACGGATTAGTAGGGATTTTTGTTGTTGTTGTTGCATTTCTTGGTCATTTTCTCACACACTCTATCCTGCCCAGCTGTTTTTCTTTGCTGTTTTCCCTTCACTTTGCCCCCAGGGGTGCCTTTTTGTGTCCCTTGCAGGGAACATGTAGTACGTGACGTTCGTGGACCATGTGCCTCCACTCCTGGGTCCTGGGGAAATCTCCCCCAAGCCTGCTGAGCGCTGGAGAAGGGACGGTGGGGCAGCCCAGCACCTCTCCTGCTTCACAGCACCATGCAGCGCCCTGGCCCCACACCTCGTCAGGAGGTAGACAGCTAGAACTCTGTGATTGCACTTCCGGGGCCAACAGATTGGATCTGACTGTTAACGCGAAGGGGTGGATCTGAGATATTTTAACTGAATTAAAAGTTTCATCTGAAAAGAAGCTGACAGCCCAGCTGGCCCCCGAGAGTTTGGGAATGCCCTGGATTTCAGCATTCCATGCTTCACACGCAAAGCCAGCTGTGGGCTGAGGCAGCTGCCTGTGGAGACAGGTCTTACCGCCAGTCCTTTCTGTGTGCTTGGCGGTTGGTGTGGCCGCCCAGGGTGGGGGGGTGGGTTGGCCCAGGGCCCCTCGGCACCACTCACATGAGTGGTAGAGGAAGGGGGAGACCAGCAGGGAGACACTTAAATGTAGGAAGATGGGGACAGCATTCGTGATGCAGAGGTGGCGTCCCCAGGGTGCTGTGAGTCTCAGCCAAGCTGTGGGACAACAGGACAGATGCTTTCTAGACAGCTGGCCTACACATAATTCCAATTC